AAGGACATGATGGTGAGGGCAACTGTAGTTTGGGTAGAGTTAAGACCTCTTGAATGAGAATTTTTGGAGTTGTATTATAGTTTACTGTAGTTTTTATCTTGATCTTCACATCTAATTCTTGAAAACGAAAGAAAAAAATGCTGCGAGCTTCTTCGAAATCAGCAGTAAATCGTATCAAATCAACTTCAGTAAGTTCGTCCATTAAAAAAAGTTTAATTTCTTCTGTATTCCTGTTCTGGATACAAATTCTAAAATTAAAATTTATTTGAAATATCGCGGAACCGGTAACTACGACCTATGTCCGTATATAACTTGATTCCAGGGTGTGTTCTGGAACTTTATTTTTATACTAGTGTAATATAAGTTGAAAACGTGGTGATGTGTATAAAAAGAATATAACTTCAACACTTTGTGGTGGTGTCAAGAAGGAAGAAACTTGACATTTATATAACTGTAATTAGTAAGCCTTGTATTAAACCTTAAGGAATTTTTTGAAACTAGTGTAACAATCTGAATAAGTAGTATATTATATTTGTAATTATCACTTGTGTAAGTGTAATTTTGAATAAATGAAGTGAGCTAACTTTAACTAGCCTAATTGCTTTGGTATGAATTGCATTTAATTAAATTCATATTTGATTAATTTCCTCATTGAAATGAACACTTTATGAAAACAATTGATTATTAAATATTCATTTATTTGAAATATTATTAAATTCTTAAAATGCTTTCAATTCTGATTGTGTAAAGTTTATTATCAATTGCAGACACATTAAAAATAAAATATTGGAGGTGCATAAAAGGGTGCCAAAGTTCAAAGGTTCCAGTAGTATGGAAATGATATTGGCAGAAGACATATTTTGGTTTACATATAATTTAACAACTTTATTGTAGAAATAATACAGGTTTATTGTATGTTTAATATGGTTTAAGCGTATTATCTCTGATGATGAACAGTAAAAAAAAAATGTTTTTCTGAAGCACCCATGTTTTAGATTGGTGCATTTCATAATGGACTGCTCATTTAAAAAACTCATTTTGAACATTATATAAGATTAGGTTACTTCAATTTACTAAAACATAACTTCTAGCAGTGCATTGTAAATTTCTGTTTGCATTGGTAATCATCAAGGGAAAGTATACTTCTGTAAATCTTACCGTAACTTATCTCGTTAACCTGCTATAAACAGGAAAAAGGTTTATGTAAAGTAGCATACAATAAATGTAACCAATTGTATACATGAAATTAAGTATTTTATATTCATTTTTTAACTAACGGTAGTTTAATCCATTTAACATTATATTTTAGAGTTAATGTTTTAAGTAGACATGTTAATTAAATATTAAATTAAGGTTTGTTATTTTAGTCCTTTAAATCTCAAAACAAAAAATTATGGTGTACCAAAATTATTGTAATGTCTGCCACTGTTTATTATAGAAGTATATGTAATCATCTTATTTTATGAAGTTACATATATTTTTGTGTTTTAAAGATGGCAGTTTATTAGCTTGGAGTCATATGCCCTAAAACATGCACAATTCTAAAAAGTTTAGGTACAAGAGAGTCGGGCAGTGTAGCATGCATGTGATACAGTAGAAGTTATTGAACATTGTTAGTGTAATACATATATATATTTAACATGAACCTAAGTCACCTAGTCTGTCCACACCTTGTTAGACAGTAGTGGGATTAAAGCTGAAAATATCATTGCCAGAGAAGGTACCCAACTGATGAAAACATGCATTTTAATTTTTATAAATATGAGTGGAAGAAAGTATATCTAATTAGCTATATTGATTTTGAGGTTGATTTTTAGTTTTGCTCTAAGTATATATATATATAGATTGTTCTGTTTGGAAGTTAACATTAATTAATATGACCTTATGACCATGAGAACTATGTGAATAACTTGTTTAATTGATATATTCAATTACCTAAGAGCGTATGTTACATCATGTAAAGTAGTTGATTAATTGAAATTACAATTAAAACTATTAATGCCATAAAAAATAATAAACTAGTGTTTGCAATTATTCCAACTTTCCAGTGATTAAACTTGATTAATTTTACAGAAATAATTGACTAATGAAATTAGAGTTTAGGATTATTATATTTTTTTTTTGTTATTCCAACTATCCAGCTGTGGTGTAAAAATGTATAAAACTTAGGTTGACAAATTCAGAAAGTTAGAAAAAAAGTGCCATGGATGATGTTTTTGGATGCAGGAACCATCATACAGTCTTTGATTGGGTGGGCCATAACCTACCCAAGCCAGTAATCAGAATATTGCCCTTGTGAATTTTAATGATTATTTGTGATTAATTCAAGTTTGTTCAGTTGAATCAATTAGTGTAACGAATCGTGAAAATTATCAACTAATTGATATACAGGTTACATATTATCACTAATTTGGATTATTCAGCTATTCAAGTACTTGAAATATTTCCATTATGTTTGTTGTTAAATACAAAGCTAAACAATGGATCATCTTTGATCTGTCAACTTCAGGTATTGAAACCAGATTTTTGGCATTACATGTTTTGTTTTAACCACTTTTGGAAGTATATTTTATGCTTACTTATTTTCTGAAGACTCTTACTTAGTTCAGTACCATCAAAATAAGGGTTAAAAACATGGTTAATTTGTTTTTCCAATTACTTATTTTGATAACATCTGATAATAAAAGAATATTAACTTGCTTGAAAGTGTTTAAAGGAAGGTTATAAGGGCAATTCCTTTGATAGAAAGGTTATTTTACAGGGATAGGTTAGGGTCTCTTGATAAAATATAGGTAAGAGGTGGATGTTATTGAAGTTTACAGGACTATCCAGGGGATTGATAGGATAAAAGTCTCGGATTTCTTTGTGCTAGATTCTGATATAATAAATTGAGAGAACATAAGTTTAAAGTTTGGAAGAACAGTTGGTTTGGGTTAAGAGAGTTTTATTCTTATTTTTTATAACAGGATGATTGACTTATGGAATGCATTGCTGTTGGCATTAGTGGATACCAACACTTGATTACCTTACAGGAGTTTATGAAACTGTGATTTCCTGAAAAATTAAGATTGGGTTTAAATTTTTAGGTGCTACTATAGCGTGCGGTCTACCGCAGTATCCATAGTCTACCAATACCCACCGGACCCAATTACCCCTATTCCAGAGGGATCATAGAAGACCCCACCTGACCTGACTTGACCTGTCTATTTAACTAAGTGTAAAAGTCTGGGTAGACCACACGCTATAGTGTAAAAGTCCCAGTAGACCGCACGCTATAGTGTAAAAGTCCCGGTAGACTGCACGCTATAGTGTAAAAGTCCTGGTAGACTGCACGCTATAGTGTGAAAGTCCCAGGTAGACCGCACGCTATAGTAGCACTAATTTTTATTTATCTTAAGGGCGGGTGTGCTAGGACAGACTTGAAGGGCCAAGTGGTCCTTTGTTTTCCATGTTTGGTCAAGTGAGGCATTGTTCTTATGATAACAAAACACAAATCCATTCCATTAGCTTATCAGTTTCAATTAGATATACATTATAAAATATGAGGGTAAATACTTGTAGATGATGTAATGTTTCATCATATTTTCTGATGCTGTATAAATAGGATTACTGCCTTATCTGCATGTGCGTCTAACACTATAGTGTTATGAAGTGGTTTGTCGTATGAAATGTGATGGGTAATGATTGTTTATTTGATTTATTTTGGGGTGATTTTCAGACATCATCGCTGAAGAAATCAGTCTTTAGAGCTCAGTCAACTGATACTCCTCGTCAAGGAAAACGGTGAGTGTTCTTACATGATACGTACTGTATTAGTGCTCAGTTAATTGACACTTTTCATTCAGGGAAAAACAGTACGGTTGGATTTAAAGTTTTATTTTTCTCAAAAGTGGGTGCGCTAGGACAAAGTCTTCCTTTGTTTACCATGCGTCGTGTTTTGTCAAGTGACTCATTGTTTTTTAATAGAAACTAATGTTAATTTAACAAGAAAATTTATTGAAAAATAGTTTGTTCATTTACGCATAAAAGATTTAAGAAAAAGAAAATGGGGGATAAGACAGAATAGCATAATATATTCGGTATAAAAAAGGTTCAGTTCCAAACAAAAAAGATAAAATATTTAAAAGTGTTGCATCCAGAAACTGTTTCAAAATGTTGCTTAAGTTTTTAGTAATTTTAAATTTATGACAAATATGGCATAATTTGATCATAAAGTATGTAAAATAAGCGCAAATATGCTTCAAAAATATAAATGAAAATACAAGTCACTGTGTTACACTGTATATATATTAGTTGTCTTTGGGCCAATTGGATAGCATGACTTTTTGTTATTCATGAGATAAATTACAATATTCATCAGTTTATTTCCATGACACTATAGACCAGTTTTTGTAAAATCCTTTTGATGTTACACTATAGTTTACAACAAGTTTTATCTTAGTTTCAAATACATGTTAATTAATGCATGAACCTCAACTATTTCTTGAACCCAAAAAAAAGCAATGTGGCCATGAAGATTGACGATTATGTTAACAAATTCAGTGTTCGTGTGGAGAAATTAGACATTTTAATGTCTTCATTGGAAGACTGACCTCTGTTTAAATTATCCGTAGACATCCCTATTATTACTTAAATAATCTTATGTGTATACTGTTGTGTTATGGATTGTAGCAATAGAATATTTAACGGGATAGCTACATTGAAACTTTATAAATTGATATACTGATTTTTCCAAAGTTAAACATACAGTATGTTGAATTAAAATCATAATATTTTGTCTCTCGTCGCAGAGGTGGAGGTGCTAAAGTAGTACTGACCTTATTTGGAGGCAGTATTTTAGCAGCAGGTGGGGCTGCAGCATATGCAAAGTATGATCCAAAATTTCAGAAGACATTGGAGCAAAATCTGCCATATGCCGAGGAAATTTTCAAGTTCATTCCAGAATGGAAAACTCCTCCTTACATGTAAGTTTATAGCCTTGTGTAAAAGATTGTTTAAAGTTTAGCAGTAATGCAAGTTTTAACATAAAATATTATTAATTTTATAATAAAACACTGCTGAATGTAGGTCCTGTTCTTTTAGTTTTTATGCGAGAAAAAAACAGTTTCCACACTGGAAATAATTTTTTTCATCCTATGTTTTTTTTTTGGAAGAGGAAGATAGCGTGTAACATATAAAGCTGAACTTTAGTAAACTAATGATTGTTTTTATTTTTGAGTTAGCAGATAGTGAACAATTATCAAAAGGAAAATTTATTAAATAACGTTTCATGTTATCGTTGAGTTGGATGGCATGTATACGTCACAGACAAATATGAAAAATCTCTCGTTAGACTATTGCCTCTTCAGCAATGGAGAAAATATCATTCGTTGTCATTGTTTGAGAAGGTAATAGTCTAATGAAAGATTTAACTTACCGCGTAGAAACCTAATATGGATTTCTGACTTGTCTGTGATGTGTACATCTTCTTCATACGACTTTAATCCCATTCTGATATGGGATCAACCTCTTGGGTCCTAAACTCTAGATTAATATTTGGGTTTTGGCAAGGGTTTTTACCCCTCAGGTGGTCAACCCTGAAGGTGCTTCTCCTCATTTAAATGAGCTTGGCACCAGCATGGCTTAGTTGCCTGTGACATGAACATAAATATTGCTATGTTTTGAAATGATAAGCTTGTTATGAATGATTCAGTAGATCCACACTTCAGGATTAGGGATGCTAAAATCTGTTACTTAGTGTAGTGTGTTTTTAATGAATTGTTCTCAGTGGTTGAGAGCTGTTGATACTAAGATTCTGGGTTCAATCCCCATTACAAACACAGTGCATATGGCTAATTGTGTAGCTTTGTGCTAAAATAAGCAGAATTTACCTTTGAGAACGAATTTAATTTGAAACTTTTGTCACCAGGAGGTGAAGAGAATCATAGTACTAGATCCAAGAAAAGATAAATAGTGTCAAATATTTCATTGCTGCGAAATAGTAGGAAAGTCTGTAGGAACAAAATAGGAACTGTTTCCGACACCTGATAGCTTGCAAAGTATCTCTGACATGATCTAAAGTACTACAGATA